ATAAAAATACCTAAAAGATCCGGGGAGGTAATTGTCATCTGGTCTGAGGCCATCCAAATTTCTCGACGACAGGCTTGCACCCTCACATATATTTCCTCAGCTACTTGCACAACGCACAACTCCCCTATATTGTCTATATATGGAGAATTTCATAGTCTAGTGAACACTTGGATCCAATCTAGTATACCTCCTGTTTTTGTTTTACCTGCATACTTGTGTATTTAAGAAAACGACGGTCTAACTTGAAAACAAACCATGTTGACTAGACTTGTCATAAAATACCTAAAAGATCCGGGGAGGTAACTGTCATCTGGTCCGAGGCCGTCCAAGTTCCTTGACAACAGGCCCACCTTGCACCCTCGCATATATTTCCTCAGCTACTTGCACAACGTACAACTCCCCAATTTTGTCTATATATGGAGAATTTCACAGGCTAGTGAACACTTGGATCCAATCTAGTCTACCTCGTGTTTTCGTTTTACCCACTGACGACCACACAAGTATAGGGGATCGCGACAGTTTTCGAGGGTAAAGTATTCAACTCAAATTTATTGATTCGACAGAAGGGGAGCCAAGGAATAATTACAAGTATTAGTAGTTGAGTTATCAATTCAACCGAACCTGAAGAACTAAATATCAGCAACAGAGTGATCAGCAACACAATTATATGATAGTTTGATAGTAGCAGTAACAGTAGCAACATTAATGGTAACAGTAGCAGCTTTATAGTGACTTAGCAAAGATCAATATATGAAAAGCGTAAGCATTGGATCAACGATGGATATTTGTGTTGGATGACATTCATCATGTAACAGCCACAACCTAGAGTGACACAGAACTAGCTCCAACTCATCAATGTAATGTAGGCATGTATTCCGTATATGGTCATACATGCTTATGATAAGAACTTACGTGAAATCTTTTGTCCTACCCTTCCGTGACAGCGGGGTCCATAAGGAAACTAATTGATTTTAATGCCTCCTTTTAATAGAGAACCGGAACAAAGCATTAACACGTAGTGAATACATGAACTCCTCAAACTACGGTAATCACCGAAGAGAATATCAATTATTGTCACCTTGGCGTATGCGGATCATAACATGTAATAGGTGTGTATAACTTGCAAGATAGGACCAGGAACTCAAATATATCCATGAAAACATAAGAGGATCAGATTTGAAGTCATGGTAAGTGGGCCTTAGTGACAAGCATTAAACATAGAAAAGTCATAGCAACATCAATCTCAGAGCATAGTGTATACTAGGGATCAAGCCCTAACAAATTGACTCGATTACATGATAAATCTCATCCAACCCCATCACCGTCTAGCAGGCCTACAAAGGAGTTATTCACTCCCGGTAGTGAGCATCATGAAATTGGTGATGAAGAAGGGTTGGTGATGATGATGGCGACAAATCCCCCTCTCTGGAGTCCTGAACGGACTGCAGATCTAGCCTCCCAATGAAGACCAGGAGGTGTGGTTGCTTCTTATTGTAATACGCGATGAAACTTCTTCTCTTACTTTTTTCTCGGAATATAAGAATTTATAGACTCAAGATTAGGGTCAGCGGAGCCTTGTGGGCCCCACAAAGGTACTAGGGCGCGCAAGGGGGGTGGCCATGCCCTAGTGCCTTGTGGGCAACTGGTGGGCCCCCTAAGTTGATCTTTGCTCCAGTATTTTTTATATATCCCATAAAAAATATCCAAAAACTTTCGTCCAATTCCGAGAATTTTTATTTCCGCACAAAAACAACACCATGTTAGTTCTGCGAAAAACATTGGCTATCCGGGTTAGTTTCATTCAAATCATGCAAATTAGAGTCCAAAACAAGAGCAAAAGTGTTTGTTAAAGTAGATACGATGGAGATGTATCACCCACATACTTGTGTATTTAAGATAGCGGCGGTCTAACTTGAAAACAAACCATGTTAATTAGACTTGTCATAACATACCTAAAAGATCTGGGAAGGTAATTGTCGTCTAGTCCGAGGTCGTCCATGTTCCTCGACGACAGGCCCACCTTGCACCCTCTCATATATTTCCTCAGCTACTTGCACAATGTACAACTCCCCTATTTTGTTATATGGAGAATTTCACGGTCTAGTGAACACTCGGATCCAATCTAGTCTACCTCATGTTTTTGTTTTACCCACATACTTGTGTATTTAAGATAGCGACAGTCTAACTTAAAAACAAACCATGTTGACTAGATTTGTCATAACATACCGAAAAGATCCGGGGAAGTAATTGTCGTATGGTTCGATGCCGTCCAAGTTCCTCGACGACAGGCTCACCTTGCACCCTCGCATATATTGTAATGTTGTAATAAGAGCATAAGTATTGTTGTCATCATATATTGTAGTTCACAATATATTGTATCAACACTTTGATACAAATACATTTGTATGTGTTCTATGTATCTAGTAAAGATTTTCATATCGGGAATCTTCAAATCTATATATAAATTTCTACGGGGGTCAATCTGATGAAATTATATGTGCATTGTGGACATATGCACCACAAACTCCATACTCAGGGAAGTAAAATGTCTCCACTCTTACTAAGAGAAATGGGTATATTGAAACAATAACTAGACGTGATGATGTAATTGTTGGCTCAACTCAAGTCATATTACTATCCCTATGGGTACTCAAGTACCATTGACGATGCTTAGTTGTGTCTCGGTTCAACTCGTACCCTACTAACCTATGGAGATGTCCGTCAAAACAGTTTCCATAGCGAAACTTATGATGATAACAAAGAGAAATATCTTCTTTTTACCAACACCCGCCACAAATGTTGCGTACATGATAGTTTTCCAAAATGTCTTTTACATAACAAACTTGGCATACTCGCCTTTATCCAAACATTGCGTTGAAACCAAAACTATTAGCAATTCCATTGGTTTATGACTAGTATGATGCTTAATTCTAACAATATTTGAATTTTATGTGCACTACATGTGAAATAGAGAAGCTAATTTTAAGGAACGCACACCTTAAAGTCTTCGCTGAACCACTCAGACTCCTTGAATGCATTAAGTTGAGGGAAGTGGCTCTTCCAAGCCATTAACTAGGTTATTCAGGTATTCCATGGTTTTTAAAATACAAGTTTACACGATCTTCTAAACTGTGCCGTCAATACCTCAAGCCCCTCACATGGGTAGTTATTTAAGGCCAATATGTTGATTTAGTGAGGACCATTTCCAGGAATTAGGGGGAGATTTCAAGTACCATACAGAATGCCAGGAAATTAGTGAAATGCTCAACACATTTCTGCCTCAAGTCTACGCACTCAAAGAT